TTTATCAAGTAACAAAATAATTGCTTTGCGTGCTTTGTAAATAGGATTAATTTAAAGCTTTCATCCACTTGTACATAAATACTGTAGGTTTTTTGCTGTAGTCATAAGGCTAATTTATCTGATGAGTGCCACATCTTGTGGTACGAAACTAATAGTAATAAAGATGCCTAGTGGAATTTGTTGAGTCGTTGCACTTATTTTATATATATATATATATATATATATATATATATATATATATATATATATATATATATATATATATATATATATATATATATATATACGATAACACAGTGCGATTGATTATACAGGTCGACTTCTTTTGGATAAATCGTGACCAGCATTCATTTGAATGGTTCTTGAGTCTCCTGAACCAGCTGGAGGTGGAGCAATCGGAGCGTGAAGGAGTATTTAACGACCATTTTCTCGACATGCATATTTACATGACATCGGCTTTGAGAAAAGAAGACATGAAAGCCGTTGGCTTACAACTGGCACTTGAACTTATTCACAACAAGAAGGAGAAAGATTTGATTACAGGTTTGAAGACAAGAACAAATCCTGGTAGACCAGATTGGGACAAGGTGAGATGTGGTAAAAACAATCAGAACATATGAAACATATGTAACGGTTATTGGAGATTCATGACACAAACGTAGTAGTATGTGCATGGACAATAGGCAATTCCTGCTTTTAGTTTACGCATGCAGGGAGGGATTGGAAGTAAGGTATAATATTGCTGATTATGCTGAAAAAATAAAACTGGTAGCCGTGTAAACACGGAGTGATGGCTTATACTTATAAATATTGAAATATTTCGGTTGTTTCGGCAGTTTTATTGAATTTTTTAGCATAATGAGCAATATGATACCTTACTTCCCATCACCCCCTGCGCGCATGAATTAAAAGCTGGAATTGCCTATTGCAGGTTCGTGAATACTTGACCTAGTGGAAAACCTTTCCGTGGTAATCAATTCAAATACAATGTGAAACCCGGCAGACGGTCTTTCCCCTCCTTCGCGTTGCCCGTTTTTAGGTGTTCAGCGTAGGGCTGACCGTCTGCCACACAGGCTAACTTGACTGCCGCTTTAATCATTATGGGAGTTGGTGAAAATTAATTTTACACTTTATTTTTAAACTGATACAAAGTCAGTTACTGTTTTAAGGTAGGACAATTTAAGGTTCTAGCGACGTCTCGTTGGCTCAACAATGGACTAAACTAGAAATACATGCATGCAGAAACCCGTCCCATGCATTGCTAGCAAAAGCGCTATATTTTCCAAACATGAAGTATTTGAACTGGTTGTTATGGTAACATGATCACTGTATTCTTTTTGCATATTTTTTTATATTTACGACTTACAAAATTATCAATTTCCAAAATGGATACAATATGTATGTTATTATATGCGTAACATAAACTTCAATTTAATGTAAAATTCAATTACCACGTGCGCTTCGCAAGACGTTTTAAAAAGTCATAAAACTAAACTGCCTTTCATTGATATACTTTGAGTTTTAAATAAGAACGATTATGAAATTCTCTGATGAAAATAACTTTGCTTTCCCTTTATTTTAATATTTTTAATAATCTAAATTAATAAAAAGGGAAATCATACACTTAATACGTTATCTTTTTAATTAATAATACGCAACATCATTTTTTTAAAGCAAACGATACATCGATCTTAAAAGTAAACCTACCATAGGTTTTACGATTTCCGCCTGCAATCAATTGGCTCTGATATTTCGTAAAAAGGAAAATAAATAAACTGTTTGGCTGCACGTCCCATTAAACGATTATTCGGATTTCTCGTTGATGGTCTTCTTTAGTTCAAATCCACTCATTCAACTGACCCATTCCTGAAATTCGCCATACTTTTGAGATCAGTGGGAGGTCTACCAATGAAACATGAACTTTAGACTTCACTAATGCTTTCTTTTTCCCGCGTGTAAATAACAGAGCGGAATTAGTTCCCTCGCCTCGAGTATTATACTTCAATATTGATGCTAAAATGTACATGTAAGTTTATGTCACGAATCTTCAATAATAACCCTGCATATGCATGCACGTTTTACTTTTCCGTTTTCTTCACTATAAAGTTCCGAGAGAAGAGAAATCCCATGCAGCCAAATGCAACTTCTTATTTTCAAATTGGAATTCTCAACCAAAGGCAACTTTTTATATTCAAAAAGTCTACAAAACCAGTCCAGCACTAGCTCTAAATTAGTTCACATCTTCAAATTAAGTTAGTTGGGTGACAGCTACATGAGGGGGGCATTCCTACATGAAAAACATAGAAAGTAGTGCTACATTTTTCATATTATAATTGCATACTTCAACCAACTTTTTCATGCAGTATTGTTGATAACGTTGCTTATACACGGCATTCAGGAAGCCAACAATCATGCAGCATTCAGTAAAAATTTTGCAGTCTTTATCTACTAAATTGGCAGTAAAATTTTGTTGCTATTTATCTATCACGTATCATTACTTTTCAGGTATTCCGTGACCTGCAGCAGCAGAAGAATGGGAAAATCTCCGTGTTTTATTGTGGAAATCCAGCTCTTGGGAAAACGTTAAAAGCATATTGCCAGGAGTTTGGCTTTAGATTTAGGCAAGAAAACTTTTAAGATGTCGAACATATATCGCTATAACTCTATGCATAAAAGCTTATCTATATCATTTATTCGTATAATTGAGCTAGTAGATATATAGTTTAGTATTTTTGTCCATTCTCCTTTTACCTCGTATTTTGAACTTTCTCAGTATTTTCATATGTACTTTCTATAGCCTAATAAACGAAAAACTGTTGCTGTATACATTGAACAGCCTACATGCAAAACTCATGTTGGCATGTATATTTTAAATTTAACTGACTTAATCTGTGATCATGCCACATAGCATTAGGCGCTGGTACAATTTTGATGTACGTCATGATAGTTGACATGTTGATGTTATATTGATTAAAATAAACTAAAACAATCTCTTGTGCTCATTTTACTTTTGAATGGCTCTTTTTTATCATTTCGGGCAAAAGTGACCAAATAGGAGCCAACTGAAAATTGCCGGTCTAAATTACATTTTTTCATAAATGTGCATTAGTAATTAAAGCAGTATATAACCGTTAACAAAGGAAAAATTCAACTCAATCACACCATGTGTTCTTCTAAATAATAGCTAAAAACGTCCTCGTTCCTAGGCATGTTAGGAATTTCTAAATTAAAATTTGAGATCCCAATGCGATTTATTTTCCAATAGGTTTGCACCCAATTGGCAATTCCCAACCGTGGGAAATTATTCGATTCATTTTTGGTAGTTATTTGTTGCATTCAGAAAAATCATTAATGTTTATCAATAAACTCGATATCTAAAACTAGCCCCTTTTAATTAGGGGGTGTCGGGCAGAATTGCCCTGCCAAAACTAATGATGCCCTGCAGCAGCGCTAGCGCTAATACAATACATCACTGATACGTGTATAATTGAATTGTCGATGCCAATGTACATGCATTAGTAACTTCTTATTGTTTGCTGGCTGTAATAAGTTACTTAATATCTCTACATTCTATCATTTAAAATCTTTGATTGCCCTGCCAATCGGGATGATTCCGGTATTGGGGGGTGGGGGTGGGGAGGTGCCACCCCCCCCCCATACCCCCCTCCCCTCAAGTTTTGCCTCTGTATCTAACGCAGGCGAATGAAGGCGTTATTATTCTTGACAACTATAGAGTATAATTAGGAAATGGTCTATTGGCTAAGCGGCAATGGGATTTCCGTATCATGCAACACTGTCGTGACTGTCAGGGGCGCCGGAAAGTCGATAATTGGGGGGGGGGGACAGATATTCATATATTATGTTCTGCATAATTTATTTCCTTTGAAAGCGATTGTTTTTACAGTCTGTGAACATGAATATATGAATATCTGCACCCCCCCCCACAATTATCGACTTTCCGGCGCCCCTGGTGACTGCATGCCGGCCTAGAGTAACAAATAGGTAACAATGCTATTCCTCATCCGACCAATTTTATATGTCTAAATTTAATAATTAAAACTGATCGAGGAATTCATATTTTTAAGGTAGACTTCGCTGTTGCTAAGGTGATGTTGCTTAAACGGTAACAATAGCGAAATACACACAAAACGAAATATACACAAAACGAAATACATCCGGGACATGAATTTGGCAAACCATCAGAAAGTTTCAATTTGTCCCTTTCGTTTGAATGAATTGGTCCGGCAGTTTGAAATGGCGTCCATTAATTTCACAAACTGATATACGTACGTTATATATAACGTCAATATATCAATATTAAGCTTCGTATTGTTCCAATATTATGGCATATATGTAGGAACTAGTTTTTCAGGACTAAAATCAGACGTGTTGTGCCCTCGGAGACTTTCAACTACTCCGTTTAATGGGTATAAGCGAAACAACTAGTTTGTATAGTAATAGCCAGTAACTGAGTAACATAGTTTAATTTGATTTCCGTGAAACCTTACATGGAAGAGTTCAGTTCTTCGTGAATCGAGAATTTGCCGTATAATTAATTTCCCGTGAACTCCCTTTACCACCACGTGCTGAATAAATATCATACGTTGGAATCAAATACTCTGATAAATCTCAAGCTAATGAACGTGAATATGTACTGAAATATTTTATGGGAAAACGATTACCCAAAAAGTTTTCTCAATAATTGCCTGAAACCAACTGTCTGTAAGAACCAAAATAACTCCGAGGGTGATACCTCTGTCAGGGGTGATGCTGTATAGTTCCATACGTTCAAGGTTTTACAGAACCAATCAAGAGAGTCTTAAGTAATTGTTCCGATAAGATTGCCTTAAAACCTTTTTTTGCGAAGCCCAAAGATCCTGTTCAAACAAATCAGAGAACTCGTGTTTTATATTCTATCAGGCCATGCGGTGACTGTGAGAAATAGTATCTGGGTCAGTCTAAACGCCAGTTTAGCACACGCCTAAAAGAACATCTAAAGGCTTTTTCACCTTTAAATAAGTGGAAATCAGGTCTAGCAGAACATGTAATCACACACGTGATTGCGTGGGAAGCTCTAGAATCATTACGGCCTACAACTAACAACAAAGACGTTGCGCAGAAGCGTGGCATATAAATGTGAGTAATCATGCTTTGAATAGGAATGACGATGCTTAGCGACCGGTCATAAAGTAACTGCTAGGGTGGCCTGGAATGATTTGGGATCGGCCATGGAAAATCTTTGGGCAGTTTAGATGGCCCGCCAATTTTTTGGTATGTCCACGGTTGGGCCACCAAACAAAAACCCATGTTAATTATATATTACATAAAGATATTAATATAATAAAAGTAAACAAAACTATCCAAATTATCAAATGCAAATGATGCTATCGAAGCCATGCAGTACTTTCAGGTTTTATACAACAACAAGAAGTGGTCGAATCACAGCAAATACAACCAACTGGAAAGCAGCTCAGTATCGTAATTGGTGATGACTGCAGTGTTGGTCAAGCTTGGTGGAATTATGTATGTCAATACAGTGCCGGTGTATATTTACAATGTTCATACCTGCAAGTTTTTTTTATTATAAAAGTGTATTTTCCCAATTTATAGATCGGGTGGGTGGGTCATGAAATAAATTTGGTAAGATTAGACGGGCATTGAAATTTTTATCTACATCCTAAGATGAGTCACCAAACTTATTGGCAAAATTTGTGATTTACCTCCAGCCCACCCTAGCAGTTACTTTATGACCAGTCCCTTATTTGCGACAAAAATATATGGCATGTAAGAGGCCACATTGCGACTTCAGATCACCCCTGATGAAGACACGAGACTGGCGTGTTGAAAGTTGGGTCGTGATTGGAATTCAACTGGGCTTTGCATTCATTTTTAAAACCAGAGCAGCGAGCGAAAACATGATCGTTCATCCATGTTGGTTTTTCCTCCATGTTTTTATTTGTGTATTTTAAACTGCCGCTTTTTATAATATTGCATACCCGCTGGGTCACCCTACAGATAACAGTTTTATCTGCCTTATCTTGTAGCAGATAACACTGACATGTGTAGATTACTAGATTGCGTATTATGATTTCCCTATAAGCTATTAAACAACAAGAAAACAAATGTGACTACAATATATAATAATAACAGTGAGCCGCCTTGTGAGCGCACTGTACAGGGTCTTCACACCACTCCATCAAGATTTATTACACTCTGACTCACAAAAATGTAGTCTTTTTGAATGATTGCCGGTAAATTCTGGATCATTCGACTATGCGTTTATTTAATTTTACAGAATAACTGAAACATTTTGGTTTATACAAACAAATAAGGAAGCTTACGAATTAGATTATAGACTTAATAGCCGAAGAAATGCGTAATATCTCAAATTCCGCCAAGCATTGCTATATACGTACAGCTTCCGATTGAGCACTCGTCAGGTTGTCGGACTTAGTGAACCATTTAGCCAAAATGCCACCTTTAATAGAAACTTGCTCCAATTCTAATTTCCAAGGGGATTATAAAAGGCGCGCAAAAATGCGGAAGGAATTTTAAGGCTGTGGGAATTTATAGTAGGCGAGAAGATTGGCCTCACTTTTTAAAATTCCTCTCGCTCGCATTTTCGCACGCTCCAAACTTGTGTCGCACTAGTAGCTAATATTCTTGCATCGGCTCGGTTCCCACGAGCACATTGATTCCTAGCTAGCTCGTAAAGTTTGTTGTTGCCGGGATAGCCTATATGAACTGCCAACAATGCTGTGTTCTGAATATTAGCTAGGCTGGCATTACCACACTATATAGACTATATATAGTACATCCGCAATGTATATAGATTGGAGCCAATAGCGGCCATATTGTGTGACGTACTTGTACCACCACAAATCCACTGAAATGTTGGTGACACAGTGGAAGACTGGAAGTGATTCTTACAATTTCCAGTTATGGGTGGAAAATACATTTTTTGATAATATTAATTAATATGACTAATTTAATTAAACACGTCTTCGCGATACGATTTACAGAGATTTTGACACACTTTAAAATCCCATTTCATTATAAATATTCTGGTTTCAAAATGGCTGATTCCAGCTATAAACTAAATTTTGATCAAGGCAAGAAGAACGAAATCCAACACCACAGCTAGAAAGAGCGTCTTAGAATGAGTAAAACTGCAACGATTGGTCAGTAAATGCTAAATGTTGTAAAATGAAGAAAATATAGTCGTGTGAAGTTCGAAAAGTTTGTGTATATTTGTATTATGTGCGGTAAAACAGCAATAATGCCACTTTCTATTAAAGGTGGCATTTTGGCAAAATGGATTCACTAAGTCCGACAATCTGACGAGTGCTCCGCAATCGGAAGCTGTACGTAGCAATGCTTATTAAGCTTGGCGGGATTTGAGATATTACGCATTTCTTCGGCTATTAAGTCTATAATATAATTCGTAATCTAAATCAAAACGTTTATTTATTCTGTAAAATTAAATAAACACACAGTCGAATGGTCCAGAATTTACCCGTCATTCAAAAAGACTATACATTTTTGCGAGTCAGAGTGTAGGTTAATAGCCTAAGAATAAATCTTGATGGAGTTGTGTGAAGACGCTTTACAGTGCGCTCACTGTTATTATTATACATTGCGGTCACTACCTGCATGTTTCATATAGTTGTTGTGTAACTAATAGCTATAGCCGTATAGGGAAATCATAATACGCAATATTGGCTAATAATACAAAATTTGCGGCGAACTTCACAGGGCTATATTTTCATCATTTTACAACGATTCGCAACCAAACTTTGTAATTTTACTTCTTTTTAAAGATGCTCTTTCCAGTTATGCCTATGATAAATGGAATTCGTTCTTCTTGTCTGGTGAAAATTTCGTCTATAGCTGGAAGGCATCCATTTATAATGTTATTTAATGATGCATTGGCTGATTTTTTAATACAAAAGAATACACTCCAGTGTTAGTATAGTTTTCA